TTTTCAAAATGACCAAAATACCCTTAGGCTAAGAATGAACCCTAAATTATTCTCAAGACCTAGAAATGCCTAATTATGCAAGAATTAATCCTCTAAGAATGCAATAATGCAAAAATATCATCTTAAAATGTATGCAAATAATGCAATATGTCACTCCCATTCTCTTTTTTCTAATAGACATCATCCTAACCTCCTTCACATCCTGTCACCTTTGGATTTTTAGCTTCTAATATGTTGTTTAACTGTAAACTCCTATTAGCTGACCATCTCCACCAAGGTACATCAATATTCCGATCTCCCAGTCTCCTCACCTCTCTCATTTTCTCATTGATAGAATTTGGTAAATACACACTAAACTTGTTCCAAACCTATACATCTAAAGGGTAGATATGGTCTGTTACTAGCACCTCTAGTTCTTCTGTAGCACTATTGTACTGACATGCTTGAGGGGCTCGTCGTGGTAGGGTTAATCAACAATCCTACTAGAACCGTATTCTTCTTTCAACCCTAAGCTGCCATGCCACACCCTTCATTGTCTCTTCCTATACTAAATTCCCTTCCAGGTTCTCAACCCCCCATTATGTTTCAACAGAATGTAAAATATACTCATCACACTTGTACTTTTCACGCATGAACTGTACTGACAAAGCACTTCTACATTTGATCAAATTCCATTTGAGTTTCATCGTAAAAGCTAGGTTTTGTAACTAAGCATGTCTAGGGCCAAAACCCCCATTCTCCTTCTTGTAGCAGACATTATCCCAAGCTCCTTTATGTTCTGTCGCCTCTTGATTTTTCAGTTTTCAGTATGCTAATTTCATGGTAAACTCCTCATTAGCCACACATCTCGACTAAGGTACATCTATATTGCCATGCCCTAACCTCCTAACATCACTAATTTTCTCCAGGACAAAACTTAGGGAAAACTTGCTTCAATCCCATGCAACTGAAGTGGAGATATAATCTTTCATCAGCACCTCATATTCCTCTGTGGGCAATGCTGTACATATATGCTTAAAGAGCTCAACGTGGTGGGGTAACCAACAATGCAGCTAGAACTGTATTCTTCTTCCAAACCCAAGCCGTAATGCCATGCCTTTCATTGTCTATTCCTAGAATTAATTCCCTTCCAAGTTCTCAATCCCCTGTTTGTTTCATTAGTACGCAGAATATCCTCACCATACTTCAACTTTTCACACATGAAGCATCCCTATGTTTGATCAAACTCCATCCAAGTTTCATCATGAAAACTAGGCTTTGAAACTTAGCACTTATAAGACAAAAACCCCCCCTTCCCTTTTCCCTTCTTTTAACAAATCATCCCAACCTCCTCTATGTTCTAACTCCCCTAGATTTTCTAGTTTTCAATATGCTGATTTCACTTTAAACTGCCCATTAGCTGACCATCTCTAACGAGGTACATCAATATTTCCGTCTCCCAACCTCCTCACATTAGTAATTTTCTCAGGCACATAATTCAGTAAAAATCCATTGAATTTGCTCCAATCCCATGCACCCAATGGAAAGGTATAATCTGTTACTAGCGCCTCCAATTCTTATGTGGGCACTGCATCATTGACATGCTTGATGAACTCATCATGGTGGGATAACCAACAATCACACTAGAACTGTGTTCTTCCGTTCCCAAGCCACCATGCTACACCCTTCATTGTTTTCTTCACAGACATAAATCCTATCCACATTCTCAATCGTCACAACATCTTCCAAGTTCCCTCTCTTCTTGATTTTTTAGTTTCTTATTTTCTAATTTCATGGTAAACTCTCCATTTGCCACCCATTTCCACCAAGGTACATCCTTGATGAATTTGAAGGAATTCTTGATGACGATTAAAAAAAAAAAAAATCCTACAAAATCCTTTATCTTTTCACGCCAATCTACAAATTCCTTTATCAGTGAGTTGATATGGAGTAGGAGCACAGATGGCAACTATGAAGGGTGTTTTTGGATTTCAATTGAAAAAAAATTGAATAATATGATTGTTTTTTAATATATATGATTATGTTTTAATGCGATTATGTTTCAATATTATATTCTAAAATTTATTTTAACAAAATTGAATATGTTTGGATAATTATAAGCAAAATAAATTTTAAATATTCAAGTTACCTACAATAAATGACATTATTTTTTAAGATAAAGGAGTAAAAATATTTATAAAATGGTCAGCCAAGGGCATCTAGTAACCTAAAATGAGAAAAATGGCATAAATACTTATAATATTACATGAATGGATGCAAAAATAACCAAACCATTAACTGTACCCTAACATCATTAGTTTTCAATGTTAAATGTTGATTGTGCATGCCACGTGTCAATCTTTGTTAACATGGAATAAAAAATGGGCAAAAACACCCTTTAAATCATAAGCCAGGAACATCCAGTAGCCTAAAGTAAGGAAAAAAAAAAGTAAAATACCCATAACATTTTCACAATTGGTGCAAAAATGATCAATTCATCAAATATTTTAAATGTTGACCATTTAACTAACACCTAAATAGAAGTTGACCATTTTCTCATTAACATGGACAAAAAAATATTTCCAAGTGAAATTTTAGAGGTTAATCTGTCATTATATGAATATCATGTAAAAAAATGTCATTTTGACTGAATATTAAATTAAATCGCTTGCTTTTTTGCAACAATGACGAAAATCATTTGAAAATTTTGAACCTATCATAAATGAAATTACTTAAAGTTGTGAAAATTTTGAACCTATCATAAATGAAATTACTTAAAGTTGTGACAATATTTTTAAGATGAGACTACCTAGGAGGTATGCTTAGGTTTTAAAGATAATAAAAATGAGTGAAGAAAGAGGGAGAAAAGGGTAGGATATGTGACAATGAAAAAAAAAAACTATGTGACATGAATTTTGACAAATTGATCATTATTGCACTTACTATAATAACATTATGAATATTCATATGATAATTGATTAACCTTTGTAAAAATTTATCTAGGAATAAATTTTGTCTGCATTGATGAAAAAGTAGTCAACTTTTACTTAGATGTCAGTTAAATAATCAACATTTAAGAGATTTGATAGATTGATCATTTTTATACCAACACTAATAATGTTATTAGTATTTTTATCTTTTTGTCTCACTTTAGGCTACTGGATACTCCTGGCTGATGACTTCATGAATATTTTTGCTCCCTTTTTAATCCATGTTAACAAATACTAACATATGACATGAATACTTAGTATTTAACAACATAAACTAATGACATTGAGGCAAAGTTAATACTTTGATCACTTCTACATCTACTCATTTAATGTTATAGGTATTTATGTCATTTTTTTTCTCAATTTAAACTATTGGGTGCTCCAGCCTCACCACTTTGCGAGTATTTTTTTTCCTTTATCCTATTTTTTAAAACGTAAAAATGGATAAAATTATATATAATATTATCTAATTTTTTGAACTCTAATTAATTATTCTTATTTATAATGATATCTTTATGTATCTCTATTCATGAAATAATTTATTTTATCGTTATCTTTAAAGTTTTATGATATCTAATTGTATGTCAATATTGTTCTGTTATTCTCTTCTCTCTTATTTTTAGTAGTCTAAGAAATCTGCACAATCAGCCATCATGACACTAAATTCTTCAAAAAATCTATGCTTCATTTAAGAGATTGTCGTTCTCTTACTTCTACTACATCTAGTTATTATCATAAGCAGCTCAAATTAACTTCTAAATTTATTTAAAATATTTCTTCTACTCTGATTTATGTTTAAAATTTAAAACAAATATGGTAAGCATCTTCTAAAAAGGTTTTTTTTTTTCTTTTTCAAGAAATAAACACCTTTTCCACGGAAGAAAAGCTTAAGCGAATAGGCCTAGGCCTAATAAGTCAAATTTCCTTTTTCTTCCCATTAAAATTGAATATAACGTTAATAACTAGTATAAAAAATACACCATGAAGGAGCTCTAAAAATACGCCTCAACATTTTCAATTTATATGAATACTTGTCTTCTATTTAGCGTACATGTAATGCACGGGAGGATTTGATCTTAAATGAGAATAATTATTTTGATTTCAAATATATATTGTAAAATTAAGTTCTATCAAATTGCATTGTGAAGGATTATTTTATTTTTTTATTTTGATCATTAACACCTAAAGCCTTTATGTTATAGCCATTATCATTGAGATTGTATTTTACCAACGTTCACAATTATATTTTTTTATTACAGAAATAACAAGAGAATTAATCAATGTACAGGAATAATAGTATAATATCTTTTATATATTATAAATCTTACGTAGTTCACAGTATCATGCATGGCAGTCATATTTCATAAGCTAATTTTTTTTTGGATAAGCTTCAGAATGCTAAAAACCACAGAAAAATTTCTTAACCTATATATGAACCATAAAACACATGAAAATGGTGCACCATTCAATACTTCAATAATATAAACAGCGACAAAATACACAAACTTAAAATGAAAAAAATCAAAATTATTCTGAATACCATCATGGTACTTTAATAATGAAGGAAATGCGTTTGCATTTGATTTAGAATTGGTACAATGATCTTCAATAGTAGACTATTTAATCAAAGAACAATAAATATATTCTCTAAACAGTTCCAAATATGTGCATCATAATTCCCTTGGTTCAGAAAAAATCCTCCCAATTAAGATAGACTACAATTTTCCCAGCGAACAATTCATTTATAAGTAAAACAGGGGAGAATGAATAGTCCAAAACCAATAATATTATAAACTAACGTAGATTTCTTTAACTATGTAGAATGTGTCTGATTTATTCAAAATCATTCATCAGTTTAAAGAAGACTCACCAGCAACCACCCGTCTGAATTCATTATATGCATATTTTCCCAGACTACCAAGCAGAACAATGACTTTAAAGAACATAACGCACCAAAAAAGATGCAGATTCAATTGGCAATCCATAATTCCAAATAACAGAAAAGCTATTGCCAATGCCTGTGGACTCTCATGAGAAACTGCATTTATTAAACTACATTTAAGGGGCCAAATATGCATTTGATAAGTCTGAATGTTGAATATTTGAGAATAAAATAGGACATCAAATGCCAAAAAACATAAAAGAATTATAGGTAGGTTAAATATGACAGTTAAATGTCGAAATTAAGATGGTTGAGGTCAGACCTCCATCTTCGTCACAAGCTCATTGGCTACAGGAGCAAAGGTAATTGTATTTCGGGCACCTAAAGCCTTTTCAACACTACTGTCAAATAAGGCAAGAAAACAGTTATAGTAACCATCAACAAAAATGGTATACAGTTAACATTTTTTATCAGCAGGCTAATCAGTTCTTAAGAATTGAAATTTAGAGGATCCAACTACCTGCTTTGATAGAGATAAGCTTCTACATTCAAGTCTTTGGCATCAAAACTTGCCTAAGAATAACCATATTTTACTCATTCTCATATTTTTGTTTGTTTTCAGAAGGAAAGCGCACTAAAATAACATTCATTTGAAAAATTATGCTATGGTGACATGATAGATCAAGATAAGTTTATGGGTTTTTTCTGTCAAGTTGATCCAATGACAAGTTTAAGTGAAAGCAAAATGTGCTCATCAACAAGCCACAAAGCTCAAAAAGCAGATAAATTAATACCTTCAAATTTTCCTGCCTCTCCACAAGCTTCTTTCTTGCTTGGGAATCAGCAGCAGAAGCATCCTAAAATTAGTCAACAAATGAAACATATTTTTCTTCTATAATAACGAAATATATCAAAATTTAGTTTGTTGAAATTTATTTATCATGACGAATCTGGTTGAAGATGCAGTATAACTTGTTTGGGTATTTTTTCCTCCTTTAAATCCTTTAACAATACCCTCCACAATCCCTGGTGCGGTGCTCTGTGCCAACGTAAGTAAGCTTCTTCATTTTTTGGAGGAAAAAAAAAATTGTAACAATGGCACCTAAGGAATTTCATTTAAAAAAAAAAAGGTGCTTACAAATTATGATAATAGAAAATATTTCCAGAAAATCCCCACCGGGGGGTGGGGAGCAGAACAATTCGAACCTGCTTTTTCGTCAAATTTGAAGAGAATCTGAAGGCAGCATCTGCAAGAACTGTATCATGGAAACAAGGCAGATTCTCTAGACACCTACAAAACAAGAGTATTGTACATTCTCTTTTTAATCAGAAGTCTACACTTTTTGTCTCTTCATCACAGAATAACTAACATACCTTAATTCGTTTTCAACATCTAATAATGAGATGAAGGTCAACTCATAACCATTTGCCTGAAAGTTGTCAACATAAGATGCCTAAGTAAGTAAATATTTGACCAGAAAAAACTGAAATGCACTATCTTATCTAAAATAGTTAAAAGGGCAAAAAGCAAATTAATGTTTTAGTCCTTTTCCTCTGTATTAAGCAAAGTCACAGTCATACACTAAACTTGCAACTGAGAGCGCCCACACGGCAATTGATTGATTATATAAACTTGTCCAAGTGTCTTATATCCCTGATTGACATCTTTGTTGGCTACTTTCACAAACCAAAAGGGCATCAAGAAGGTCAGATGGCTTTTGTAAAAGTAGCCAAAACAACATTGTTTTGGGATTGTAATACATCTGGGCAAGTTCATATCACCAATTAATGACTATATGAGTTCTTGTTTATGCTACATTATCAACTTTGATAGGTGATCCTTGCTTGGGGGACCTTTTTAGTAATGGTAAAAAACTTCAAAGAAATAAATTGAGGCTCTACTTCTAGAGAAAGTCACTGCAAAGGGATAATCTTTTGAAGACTAAATCATTAATTTACGCTGTAAAAAGAAAGGAATCCTAAACAAATCTGCTGGTTCTAAACACCACTATACGAGTGCAATACTCCATTGTCATCAGAATACATGGTTTTGTCCATATTCACTTCATAATTCCATCTTAAAATGGACGATAAGGAGCTTTCCTGTACCAATTCCAAGTTTGACAAGTGTAAGCATGATCAATTTTGTAATCCTACTAAAAGCATTCTTATAGAATAAAAAAATAAATATGGTGATTCCACCTGATTTCAAATGTTCCAGTCTGAAGCAACAATAGCCTAGAAAATTTGTCATCTTTCTTTGAAGTTGCAGTCCGACAACAAGGCTTAGAAAGTTAAACCTTATTGGCTGTATTCTTAAGAATATATCATAAATAATTAAAAAAACAAAGTAGCTTTCTTAAAGAATTGTAACTTCATTATAGATGTATTTGGCTAATGGGTATAGGACCTGCATCAACGATTTTGCAGAGAATAAACGCATGAATTCTCACAGCAGAGGAGAACTAATAGATCCATCAAAAAATCTGAGCATGTGGTTTCTGTCGAAGAAAGCTCATCCTCAATTGGATTCACCCTGGTTGAATTACTGCCTGGCACATGCTCATTGGTATCAGCAATATCCTTCAAGGACTGCTCCAGCTGCTTGTCTTTTGGCACTTCAGGGCTTAACTGGAGCACAAAAATCTTCAAGACTTTCCATCGATATGATGCTAACAGCAACAAAAGCAAAAATATAAAACAGTGTTGTGGATGAAACTTGTACTTGCCTATAATATACATAGAAAATGCTGTTGATTCCTTTAGGTAGTGTTTGGTTGGAGGGGAGGGGAGGGGAAATCCCTCCAAAGCCTCCCCACCAAATTGGGGGGATCCCCCCCTCCCCCTCCTTCTCCCCCTCCCTCCCCTCCCCTCCCCTCCAACCAAACAAAGCCTAAAGTGTAATGGCCAATTACAGATCATTTCACTAGTACCACTGTCAATTACATTAACCTTTCCATCCTGGGATATGACACATACTATTTCTTCAAGAAAATTGCCTGTAGTTTTATTTAGTTGCTTTGGACTATTCATGGCAATATAAATGACTGATTGATCTTTCCAAGCCATTGAAATCACTGGAGAGCTAGAGGAAGGAACACCATCAACTAAGAACAAAACTGCCAATGAAGTCATATCACAGAAAGCAACTTACCAAGGCAAATGATCCAGGATTTACTGAAAAATCAGACGGTTCCAACGACTACAAACTACACAACAGAAAAGGGGATGTGAATCAACAAGTTGACAGTAATACCCACACGACCAAGCGTTAATTCTTGCCTGCAAAAGGAAAATAGTGAGAATAAGCGATAGTTAATTCATATATTTAGAAGTTATCTTGTTACCCCCATAAGTTAAGAGCAAGAATCTATATTTTTCCAAAAGAAAAATGGATAAGAATGATCACACACAATCAAAGTACAAACTTAACACCTCCAAAAAGTAACAGACAAGGAAGAACATGATCAAGTACAACCCAAGAAAGGAAAGTAAAAAGAAAATAAAGTGTTGACCCACGTGGACAACAGAAAATTACCCTGCCTCATGCCCATAAGGATTTCCTGCCAATGAATTTTGCCCACCACAGTTGCTAGTGGAAGAAACTGAATCGCCAAGCAGTTACTGCCACATCTAATATTTTAACACTCTAAGTATGCCATCTAATAAAAGAAGCAGTCAATGCAGCACTTTCAAAGTACTTACAGTGCAAAACCTTTTGCTGCCCTTTAAAACACAACTCTTTATGTTCTTTGAGAAACAGTGAAATCCTTTTCTTTATGTTTGTAATGTGCCATACTTAGTTGATATAGATAAGGAGATATCAATCACTAATTGGTTCAAGACTATTCTAGTTGAAACTTTACTTAAATCGTGTTCTAAGAACCTTAGTAAGATCTCAACCTTTACCCTTCTTGTTTCTTTCTTTTACTTAACTTAGTGCAGTTATTACTCTCTAAGTCCCACCACGCATCGCACAACTTAAATCATAAGTGTTTTTATGAACACCATTACAATCATCCTTAGCATTAACATACAATTTATGCCATATACCATATTGCCTTAGAAATGTTGTCAAAATATTGGTGAACTAAATGTCCCCTATAAGTCTATACATAACTAGCCAAAAAGATTGCACTCTCATAAGTCACCCATCTATACCTTTGCTTTTCCCTTGTTGGTCCCACTTGTGCTTGAAATGTTAGTTAGAGAGAGTGAGAATTGGGGAATCTCAGTACCAACTAAACCACTCATGCATTTAAAACATGTTATACCTTTCATAAACATCAAAGAAAAACCATGTCTATAAACATCATAATCATAGCACAGAAATACACATTGGCCAAGGAACCAGCAGAACATCATCATCACTATAACCATACATGGCAAATACTTCATCTTAACATGCTCATAAATAAATAGATTGGACTGAGTCAATAAACAGATTGGACTTAAAATGTCATAAACTTTCTCATCAAAATCCAATTGGAGGGCTGAGTCAATAAACAGATTGGATTGCCACCGTATTTACAAGCCCAATCATAAAGTAGTATTTCAAGGCACCATAAGGTAAAACACAAATATTGTAAGATCATGAAAGCTATTCTGAAACAAAAACAAACAAACAAAAAGAGGAAAGTATATGCATATCACGGTTCTTGCATTGTAAAATGAAAGAAAATGCATATCAGCTCAGTTGAAAACCATGCTCTTGCTGGTAGATTCCCAAGTTAAGCCACCCCTGCCTGAAGTAAGTGTTGCAAATCAAGCCCATGATAACATCAGAATAGCCAGAAGGTGCACCATGAATGTACGGGATAATAGGCACACCCAACACTACATGTGCTCTATAATATATAGAATGAAGACCGCAAATGAAGGACAATGAAAGAGTTTTGGGGAGGGGGGCGACTGAATGATCTGGGCAGAGCCAGGAACCCAGATTCTCAGAAATGAGGGGAAAATTGGAACAGAAAAAAGACCTCCCATACCCAGTGAATGAGCAAGGCTAGAGAAAGAGATGAGGATAAGAGAGGGAAATTCATCTTCAAATTTGAATATAGCTGATATGCAGATGAGGACGGGTTTCCTTTTAACAAGAGAAAAAAAGACTTTGGATGGCTTAGTGGCAAATAGGTGGAAAAGTTGCATAGAATACCTCTCAGTTCTTATGAAATAATAATGCTCCTGTTTTCCTTTAAACCACCTTTCAGAAGAGGAAAAAGGGGAGATTGTCTTGCCCATTGCAAGCATGTGATCAAGTCATCTGCATAACCGCATCAGCCATCAAGGCATGAACTTAATGTGCATCATGACTGACAGGCCTTGACCATTTTCTATTGTAATGCCACTCAAATGTCTATGGTTCTGTAACTTGTCACTGTATGGCATACTCTGGAGCTGAAATATGGAGCTAACTGCCTCCTTTGATACATGCAGCAAATTGAGATAGAATTAATGTCGAAAATCCTTAATTTGATCCATAATCCACACTTCCAGTCTTGAGTAACCATGCTTCTTACAAGCATCAAGGGCCATGGTTAACATTGGAATTGAAGGCTCAATGGGCAATGTCTTCAAAAAGTTTTCAAGTTCATCCATGTATCCATGTCGGCTGTAGAGTTGAATCATGCAGTTAAAGTGCTCCAACCGAGGCAAGATACAAAACTCATTGCTCATTGACTTGAAGCATTGGGTACCAAACTCAACAAGGCCTTCTTCTATACAAGCAGACAGGATACCCTGAATGGTCACATGGTCTGGTTGGGTGCCTTCCTCCACCATTATCCTAAACAATTCAAGGGCTTCCTGATATCTATGATTGTGACAACACCCAAATATTATGCAATTCCAAATAACCACATCTCTAAAGTTTGCCCCTTTAAAAACCTCAAAAGCATGCTCAAGAGAATGAAATCTACAATACATGAATATCAAAGCAGTTATAATAATAGTATCCATCTCAATTACATGTCTAATAATATATCCATGAATTTGTTTACCATGGTGAACTGCAGAGGTATTTGCACAAGCCATCAAAAGGGTTGCAACTGTATATTTATTTGGTTTTGTTTCCCACTGCATCTCTAAGAACATTGTCAAGGCTAGCTCACCTAATTGATGGTGAGCATAGCTAGTCAACAAGGAATTCCAAGAAACCATGTCACGCCAGTAACTCATTTGGCTAAACCAAACTCTAGCACTATTCAACATCCCACATTTACCATACATGTCAAGAAGGGCATTGCTAACCATAAGGTTGGTGTGGTAACCATGTCGATAGATATAACCATGAACCTGCTTTCCCATTTCATGATCTGAAAGTCCAGTAGATAAGTTTAAAATCAAGCTTACTGTGACATGATCCAATGACTTAGTATCAACAACCATCAAATATACAAAATCCAATGCCTCTACATATTCAGAGGAACGGATATATCCTGCAAACATTGCATTCCATGAGATCACATTACGTTCAGGCATCTCATCAAACAATTTCCTTGCCTCTTGGGTTTTCCCACTCATTGCATATCCTGATACAATTGAAGTCCAAGTGACCAAATCTTTTGAGCCAAGCTGATTAAAAATCCTAGCACCATCATCCAGTTCACCACACTTCACATACATGTTAATAAGAGAGCTTGAGACAATATAATCCTCTTGAAAACCTAGTTTTGCAATAATTCCATGTATTTGCATTCCCTCGTTTAGTGCATATATACTAGAACAAGCAACAAGGGCATTAGAGAGTATAAAGTTGAATGGCTTGATTGCAGCAGAGAGCATCCGTGAAAACATCTTAATGGCTTCCCTACCATCACCATTATCTAGATACCGCCTCACAATCACATTCCAAGTGATGGCATTAGGATTTTCAATCTCATTGAACATTTTACGGGCATCACACATAACCCGACACTTAGCATAAACGTCAACCAGGGAACTCCCCAGAACAACATTCCTATCAAAACCACATTTTGTTATAAGTCCATGAATCTGCCTTGAGAGATGAAGCTCAGAGGCTGCAGCACAAGAACCAAGAATACTGGCAAATGTGATATTATTTGCATAAATTCCCAACCTATTCATGCATTGGAATAATGACAATGCCTCATCTGGGAAAGCCCCCTGCGCATAGGCCGTGATCATTGCATTCCAAGACCCTCCATCTCTTTGAGGCATTTCCTCAAACAGCTCCCTGGCATCATTCAAAGAACAACATTTGCCGTACGTTTCTATCGCTCGGTTAAGAAGAAAGACCGGTGGGGTAGGAGAGAAAGTGACCAAATGAGACTCGAGCTTCCGAGCCTCAACAATGGCTCGACGATAGGAACATATCTGGAAGAGATGAGCATACAGGGAATACGGGAAAAGTTCAGGGAAAGCGAAGAGGACTGACACGGCTTTTCGTAGACGACCTGCTCTGAGGTAAGTGAAGATTGAGTTTATTGCTTTTTGGACACCCGGGGGCTCAGCTTGTACCTTGAGATCTCGGTTGTGAAGGAATTGGCTGAGTGCGGAGGGAGGAGTCTCACCCATGCAGTAGACAATGACGGCTTGATATTCGGATTTTCAAGACTCAGAACTTTAAACGGATGACTGCAATTTCCCATGGCATGCTATTCTATAGTGCTCAAAAAGCTTCCATGGCACTCTCGCTGATCCCCACGTTCCAGCTTTCGTCAACACGTTATTCTATACAGAACAAACTCTTATTATTACAGTTCGACAGAACAAATTCACCAGTTTCCAACTTGTTTTCCTTTGGACTAAGTGCTTCCACCAAATCATTACGATGAATAATAAATTTCTCTGTATTAAATTAGTAATCCCTTTACCCATTTGATATTGAAATAAATGCATTTAAAATTAAAAAAAAAGAATAAGGAGAAGGCATTCACAATACTGGGATTCAATCATTGATACAAAAATCAGAACAAGAAGGAAAGCATTCACAATACTGGGATTCGATCATTGACAGAGGAAAAAAATCAGAGCTAACATGAACAGCAGAAGCAAGAAATTCAGAACTACAACTTAAGCAGAAAGCATTCAAAGCACTGAATTCAATCATTTCCGGATCTCAGAACAAAAATCAAACCAGCAAACGCAAACACGAACAGAAGAAGTGTAAAGAAGAGTAAGTCAATCCTTGAGAGCAATTCTAAAGAAGCAGCGAAACGAACAGCCAAGTGAACTCACTTTCGAAGGCGAAAACGAGAAGCGGCGAAGGGAAAGAGACGCCAACGTGCCGTGTTCTGCTCTCTCAGCCGAAGAGATGATGAAGACGGGAAGCGCTGAAGCTGTGCAGCGTTCGATTCTACGAATGGCGAAGAATGACATAAGTATAAGCAAAATCGACCGCTGTTTCTTTTCAAATGAGTAATGACCTTTATCGACAAGCACTTTAATAATACTTGAAGTCGATATATTAAAATACTTTTAATTTTAATATTTTCTTTTACCAATCTTTTAATTTTAATGTTAAATTATCATTATTTTTATTTGTAATTGAAATAATTTTAATTAGTGAAATGATTAAAAGCACGCTCATGAAGAAGATTAATTATAAATAAATAGAAGAATGATATTAAAGTTTTAAAATAATTAATTTATAACAATTAAGTCTCAACCAAATTTTCTAAAAAAATTATTTATAAATATTGAATCTGACAATTACAAATCCAATTTTTTTAATTATAAATAAAATAATTAAATTGAAATATAACTAGTAATTTATAGTTGAAAGTGTAATTATTTTAAAAAAAAATTATCAAGAATTTAATTTTTATAAACTTTTAATATTAAGATTCTAATGTCATTCTCCCATTATAAATTTAAAAATATTATTTATGAATATATAAAAAATTAATTATAGATAGATAGGTAGTTTTATAAATATATACATTTTTATTTATAAATTTTAAAAAAGTTACTTATAAATTTTTGAAAAGCTAATGGTAAATAAATATGAATATATTTATTCATATTTTTAATTTTATATATAAGTAGTCATAAATATAAGATGGTCCTTAAATTATTATTTTATAATTAAAACTATTTATATTTATTCGTGATTGACATTTGACGAGTGATTATTTAAATTTACAAATGATGATACATAAAATTTACAAAAATATATATATATATATATATATATTCCACCTGAACATTTGTAGACTTTGATATAAAAAAAAGACTAAAAAAAGTAAATTGTAATAGTACTTCCCTCAAATTAATAAAATGTACTCCTATGATTATTTTTATATAGTATTGAAATAAAATTAATTTTAATAATATTTATATAATATTTTATTTTTTCTATATCCATGTTTATCTTTTTATTTTTAACGTCATTACATTACATTATATTATATTATATTTATATATAAAAGTAGTATAAAAGGCTACATATGAATGTAGCATCTTCATTTTTTAATTTTACTGCAATTCTATATATTAAGATGTCTTTCTTACAATTGTATGCATTAAATTTAAATTTAGAGTTAAGTGTAGAGTGATTTATTATTTTTATATGTATATAAAATAGAGCATTCATATTCAAAGCTAGGCTCAGGATGATTTATCATTTTTATATGTATTAAAAAATTAACTTTTATCTGTTTAAAATTCAAATCTAGTCATATTTAAATTTAAATTAATATCTATATTTTTAAACATTTTAAATATCACCCTAAATATTTGTTGAAAATTAAGGTTCATACGTCGAGTGTATATATATAATCCAAATTGGATCATTTAAAAAAGAGTAATCAATTTATTGTTTATATTTGGGGGATCCAGTTTGGAAAATAAATAATAAAATATATAGATCTATCTAATGGAAATTTAAATTAATATTTAATTATGGGATAATTTTATAATATTTTCATTTATGTTCAAACTTTTTTAACATTTTCTCATTTACCTCATTAGATTATGTAATCAATTTATCTTATTTAATTTGAAAAAATACATCATGTTGCTCGTCTAAAAATACAGATTTACAACTCAATTGTTTTGAAATTCAAAAGTTGTCTGGATTTTAATAACTGCACATATTTTAATGAACAACAATTTTATTGATTCGATTTATAGGCTGATTCACATATTTGATTTATATTTATTTAAGTTCAAAAAATGATATTGTATTCATATATGGGGCTTTTGTAGATATAACTCATATTGTAGGACCAAACTAAAAAAATAATTCAACATTTATTATATTTTATATTATGACTGATTTATTATATTTCTCAATGATATATTGTTGTATATCAATGATAAAACATTTATAAATTTTAAATTTTAAATTATAAACTCCTTATATATCAATGATAAACTTTTTATATATCAATGTGAACTGGCCATACTCCCAAATTTTTAAAAATTTTGTTCATATTTTTTTGTTACAAGATTTTTTTTTTGGCCAATAGTCCAATTTAGCCTTTATATTTTGACGTGTTCCTTTCTATAATATTATGTGGTAAATATTTTTAAAAAAGATATACACAATAATATTTTTAAATTATGTTTTGTTTATATTTTGAAATGTCCAGATTTAAAAATAAATGAATAAAATATTTAGAGAGACTTCGGAAAATAAAATGTATTTAATTAATTTAAGTAAAAGCTATTCTGGGAAAATAAGAATTCAAGGCATATAAAAAAGAAATCAAATCGGTTTTGTCAATAAAGGGATTATACATATACCGTCCTATTTTGGCCAACAAAATATAGGTACGGAACTATATATATTAAACGCGATTTAAGAGTTAGGGCTCTTTTGAATTTTAGATAGAAAAAATTTATTAATATAATTAATTTTGAGTATAACTGATTATATAATGTGATATATAATTAATTTATAAAATTAATTAACAAGATTAATTTTAATCAAAATTAAAAAAATAGAATTAAAAAGTAAAATTAAAAATAACATAAAATCGTGATTTATATCCAAACGCCCATTTTGCATGTTAAAATTAATTATAAATTCAAAATCTTATTTTTCTTAAAATATTTAAATGCTCATTATATATGTCAAAATCAATTATGATCCTAAAAGCCTGATTTTCTTTAAAATTATCTAAACATCCCTGTTTATTAAATGAACCCAAATAAAATATTTGATATATTATTTATTTATATATATATACACACACATAATAAAGGAGTGGCTACAGTTGTATATCTTTTATTTCTTTTAAACTATATTTAATATAAATTATAATTATTCAAAACTTAAATTATTATAAAATATAATTAATTTACACTAGTATTTATTTGAATATAGTAAAACCTAATTATTTTTTAGGTTGGATTTTAATTTCATCTATTTTTTGAAGTATATAATCTGAACAATAAATATTCTTAACCATATTATTATATCATTATATAATTAGATAATAGATAATAAATAATCTACTTATTCAAAAAGTGAATTATCATAAAATCTATTTAAATTTAAATTTAAATTATATTGAAATCATAAATCAATTATATACATTAATATTAACAAGAATACTTGCTTCAGTTTTAATTAGTTATTTTGTTTCAATTTGAATTTAAATTTTATTTCATTAAAAATTCAAATTCAAAATTCCTCTACTATCAACTCAAGCATTAATTATAAATAGAGATGACCAAATTCATCTTGTAACATCTTAAAAATTAACCCCTTGATTATCAACTTAATTATGGGTAATTAAGTAAGATTTATGTGGTATGTAGTTAGAAAGGGCTAATGAGTGTTTTGGTTTTGATTTTAACTATAAATTTAGGCCTAAAGTGAAATTGGGTCACTTAGACATCAAAAGTGGAGAAAATCAAAGAAAAAAGTTTCTATACCACATGTCATAGCGTGTGTCATGGCACATAAAACTAGAAAATATGAAATAGCCTTCTTTGTATTACATGTCATAGCATGTGTGACATGCATTATGACACACAGCCTATTTTCTACAAAGATAAATTGTGACCTGACTCAAAAAACAAAGGGAAAATCATAAGAGTTAGAAGGAAAGAATGAAGAAAACAAAGAAAGCTTTGCTAGGGCTTCATTCTCAAGAGGATTGGAGGTTTTTTGAAGCTACTAAACCCGATGGGTAAGTCTCCTAACTTATTCTTTTTGCTTTCTAAACCATTTTCTTAAGTTTTTTGTTAGGGTTTGATAATGGGAGATGATTTTTGATTTATATAGATTATGGGTTCGAATCCATTTACTCAAATAGAGTTAATGGGATTGTTTGAGATATTTAAACCTAGAAATTATGGGTTTAGACATTAATAGTGGTTGTTAGCCATTAATGCCTAAAATGGGCAATAGATATTGGTCTTTAAAGTGGTTGGAACCATTAATGGTAAGTCAAGCATTCAATGAAGCTAATGGAAACTAAATAAAGTTAATAAACCCAATGTATAAGCTTGAATATAAGAGGCAAAGGTCTTGGGTTACTTACATGATGAAATTGAGAGTTGGAAGTATGTATGTGGTAATGTTGTTGAGTTTGGATTTGATTAATTGTGGACTAATTGTCCGTGCATTAATTTGAGCTTGAAAGCAAGTTATTGAGGGGTAAATTTCTGACCTCTTAAAGGTTTGAAATAACTAGAAGAAACCTATTTTGCATAGTTGTTTGTTAGTTGAATAAAAAATTTGTAAATGCATTTATTTATATAAATGATTGAAGTTCTGTTTGTGAATGCATGCCAAAGATTGTGTGAGGTTTTTACTAACCCAAATTTGAATATAAAGGTGGAGTTGAACTTATAATATTTGCATACTACCATTATGTGTAGTAATGAGAAGTAGATAAGTTATTGTGATGATTGTGTGATTGTGATAATTGAATGAAATGGTTGAGTATTGTGGAGAACATGAGATTGAGAATGTATGTTAAGTGTGATAAGTGAAAGTGATTGTGATGCCCACATGTGTTAATTAACTAATGACTGAAAATAGAAAGCTTTATGAATTACAAGCATGTGTTAACATATGTGTGAGCATGAGATATTACATGATCATTTAATAGGAGTTTATTTAAAGAGATGAATAGACAAAATCCATATGGTATTTTATGGCAACCTTTCAGTGCATAAAGGCTAGCCTTATCTCACTATTTGTTAAGGCATTTGAACCTACCTATCTCCATTTATTTGTCAAGAAAATTAACCTAGGGTTTATGACACCCTAGGGATTTGAGGATGTGAGAAGCTATGCTTTGAGAGTGAATGTAGTGATTTTTAATCAGGTTACTCCTCATAATTGGTGAGCTTGAGTAGTCTAATCATATGAACAGAGCCCTAATTGATATTATAGTCCATAGTTTCATTCAGAGAAAATAAGGAGGTTAT